TTTTGGTCAAATATCTGTTTCGCTCAACCCTGACGTTTTGAACCAAAACAGATAAGTTTTTCAGTTTCACAAATCATGACAAACAGATAACAATTGGGATACACACGATACGTGACGTAAAATAACCACAACCATTTATCATTTTTTTGGAAAACGGAAATATTTCTGTTCAAATTTCAATTTTATTAACAAATTTCAAATCAATTTGCAAATCATTTCAAGCCAGCGCAGCAAAAAAAAAAAAACGACTCATCACAAAATTTTACCCTTTGATTTTGATCTCATCCCCCAAAAATTCAGTTTACCAAAGTTGAGAAACAGGACGTTTAGAATATTCGTATCTTTAAAAATGAATTATTTCCCGTGCAACCAAACATTTCAAAATTGGGTAAAGTCGTTAGATTAGGGAAACATACAAAAGTAAAAGATGAGAAAAAAAGGGGAAATATTACACAAAATATAAAAAATCTACACAAAAATTACGACATTTAGTAGGGCACCGTAACACGGCAACCTTTTCTTTTATATATTAATATGTTAAAAGGGAAATAATGTAACCGTTATTCTCAAAAAAATCTCGAATTTTATATTTTATATCTTTATATAATGTCATTTAATAAATTATTATCATCAGAAAGGAAGGAATTTGTATATAAAATTAATAATGAAATGTACAATAATGCATTAGCTAATTCTGATTATGAAAGTAGAAAAGATTATTTTTTCTCATTAGTCAACAAAAACAAGGAGCTTTCTGAAAATGAAAATGAATATTGTAAGGAAAGGTTTATTTATAACTTTGAATTAAGAAATGCAAGAGATAAATCAGGCCAACCGAAAAAATGTAATAAGTGTAAATCGACAAGATACTCTGATATGTTCTGTGAAGGTTGTATTAGTTTACAATTACAGAGTCTTTTCACTACCTGGACATCTGGAAATAACATAGTTGACAACTTTATTCAACAATGTCAAATGATTTCATCACTTCCAACATATATTTTAGAATGGATATCTTTTGAGCAATTTGATGATATAACAAAGTTGACAGAAGGTGGATTCAGTTCAATTTATAAAGCTACATGGACAAGAGGAGAAATAGTTGATTATGACGAAAATAAAAAGGAATTTACTTATTTTGGAAAGCAAAAAGTAGCATTAAAAAGTTTAAATGATTCAAGTAATCCAGGAAAATCATTTTTTGATGAGGTTGGTAGTTGTCATTTAAAACAAAATAAACAATACTGTATTATATAATAAATACTAATTGATTTTATTTATTTTCAGGCAATGAATTATTGTAAAATTAAAGCACCACTGATTGTTCCTTGCTATGGTGTAACTAAATTCCCAGATAATGGAAATTACGCAATTGTTTTAAATTATGCTTCAGGTGGAAATTTAAGGGATTATGTGCAAAAAAGCCATTTAACGTTAAAAGACAGAATTACAATATTTTATTATTTATGCAATTCATTATTTCTGATACATTGGAAAAATTTAATACATTGTGATTTACATAGTGGTAACATATTATTGCAAGGAGGTAATTGTTTTATTACAGACTTGGGATTATGTGGGCCAGTTGATGAAAAATCATCAGATAAAGTCTATGGAATTGTATCATATGTTGCACCCGAAGTACTTAGAGGCAAAAAGAACACCAAAGAATCAGATATCTATAGTGTTGGGATGTTAATGTGGGAAATATTTGCAGGTCATCCACCATTTGACAATAGAGCTCACAATCATCGTTTAATTTTTGATATATGTGCAGAAGGTTTACGACCACCAATATTACCTGAAATGCCTGAAGATTATGTGCAAATGATGCAGAGGTGTTGGGATGTGGATCCATTAAAAAGACCAACTAGTGAAGAGCTTTTCCAATTTGCTAGAAATAAACGTAATGAAGTTATTAATGATGATAATAGTAATAATATTACTAGTGGTGGTAGTAGTGCTTTGCAACAAGTACACGAATCACATCCAGGTGCATATCATACAAGTAGAATATTGGATGAAGAGATTGCTAAATCAAAAAGCTTAAAAGTTTATACAAGTAATGATAGTTCATTGGATAGTCTTGATTTTAACTCTTTTCTCTTAAATGCTGAAGGTGAATAAAAGATTTCATTATTAATTAATTAATTGGAACTTACTATCCATTAACTATTACTGACAATATTTTTATTTACATTTGATTTCATTAGATTCTAATAATTAAAAGAAAGGATCGATGGATGATTAATTTAATCTCCTAAATTATTCATTATAATTATTTGTCTTTATTTTATCCATATGTACTGATTTTGTATCGAATAGTAAAATGGTTTTTTTAGCAGAGCAAATAAATTTTTGGGGTTAATTATAATTCTATTGAATAGTTTACACATCATGTTTAACGTGTTTAACGTCGAGACACAATAATATATAAAAGGGTCCCAAAAAACCAAATCGGCCGATATGAAAATCAAATTTGCTAATTTGAATTTCACGCGTGTGAATTTCGGATTCCAAATTCACGCACATCAATATATAGTAATAGTGGGAGTATCACGTAAAAAGTTGTATATATAAATTAATTTTTTAAATTTATCTCAAAAAAAAAAAAAAAAAAAGAAAAAATGTCAACGAAAACTTCAGGGAAGCCTCTTCCATTACAATGTGTTAGAACATTTACTGCACATACAAGACCTGTACATACAGCAAAATATAATTCGACTGGTGAATATGTGCTTAGTGGCGGGCAAGATAAATTAATACGTCTGTGGAATCCTGAAACAGGACTAAATATAAAAACCTATTCAGGACACGGAAAAGAAATATTGGATATTAGTATGTACACTCCCCTAAAAAAAGTATCGACTCACTTGATGATCCGCGAAAATAATCGGGTAAATGGGTAATACAAATACTC